TGATGGTACGGCTTAAGCCGACCAACGTAAAACGTGGGATGCGTTCGAATCTTACGTGGCAACTCGATCGTGTATGCATTGCCTAGGCGGTGCAATACACGAAATGGGCCGATGTACTTGGGTAGTAGTTTACTATTACCCAAGTTAGTCACTACATGCTTTGGTAGCTTAACCGTAGACAGTAGGACTAAGTCACCTTTATTAAATAAAGAGTGTTTGCCCTTCCATTCTTATCAGCGTTTTGCTTTTGCTTATCCACCGCTTCGGCGATGGAGTCTTGCACAAAACGGACTACCGTTTCACGAGCCAGTATGAACTCATCTGATGACTCGTTAGCTTCAGTGCGCTGTGAGTGCACTGCAGCAACATCAACCTTTTCTTCAGTGAGGGCTTCCGCACTCTCACTGGCATCATCTTCTTCGATATCGATGTTATCGATATCGGCATCAAACGCAATGACCTCTTCGTCAGAGCGTGATGAGCGTGAACCAAATCGGTTTTTGCTCGCGCGAGTCCCTCCCCCCCTTAAACCAGAGTTACACTCCAGTAAGGTGGGTACACGCGGATGGCGCAAGCCATTCACGCAAAACGGTGTATGTGTCGTGGACGCATGCACCGAGTTGTTAATGGCAAACTCTACCATTGGCAAGAACTCACTCCAACTGTAAAGGAGTGTACGTATCCTCGAAGTATCTCTTCAAGGACACGGTTGGCACGTTCCGTCTGACCATCTGACTCTGGATGATCAGATGTCGACATCTTCAAGCGCGTTCCGAGTGATTTGAACACGGAACGCCAGAAATCAGCAGTGAATCGTGGATCTCTGTCTGATACGAGTTCACGGGGCAACCCATGAAGTCGGAAGATGGTGTCAATAAAGACACAAGAACAGCCACTTGCCGTGATTGTCTCTGGTACAGGCACGAGGTGTACCATTTTGCTGAATCTGTCAACAAATACGAGAATACCCGTATTCCCGCGTGCGTCTTTGGGTAACCCGAAGACAAAATCCATTGAGATGAATTCCCAGCACTCAGCCGGAACCGGTAGAGGCTGTAAAGGTGCACGCAGTGAAGGACTTGACTTCACTCGTTGGCAGACTTCGCATGCGCGAACATACTTTCGCACAAACTGATACTGGCGGGGCCAGTAAAAGTCTCGACTCACCGTGAGATATGTTTTCTCCCGGCCACGATGTCCTCCTATAGGAGCATCGTGATACTCGAACATGATCCGCAAACGCAGGTCAGTATCATCTGGAATGACAACACGTGGTGTGTCACCAGAAACGGCTGTATAATACAGTAAACCGTTGCGAGTAGTGTATCGATCTGATGCAGATCGATACGCAGACGATAATCGTTTCAACGATTCTCGAGATGGTTGGGAGAGATGTGTCAACAACTTCACAATCTCACCATCTTGGGCATACGCCCGCCTCACATCATCATACAACGTTGTAGATGGGACTGAGGACGTCATAACCGCAACAGTGACTGTCTCACTGTTGGGGTTCGCGACTGTTTCAAAGTCGGGACGACGTGAGAGTGCATCAGCGACGACATTAAGTCGTCCTGGTTTGTACTCGACCGTAAAGTTGTATCCCGCAAAGAATGACAACCACCGCGCCATTCGTTGTGAAAGGTGCGGGCTGTTCACTGCCGTGCGTAATGACGCATGGTCAGTGTAAACAATGAAGGGTCTATCTCCTAATAGATAGACTCTGAACTTCGCTAGTGCATACTTCATGGCAAGGAGTTCCTTGTCATGCACTGGATAGTTCCGCTCAGCTGGTTGCAGCTGACGCGACTGATAGCAGACGACGCGTTCAACGCCTTCTAGGTCGTACTGCATTAATGCACAGCCTATTGCTAAATCGCTGGCATCACAGACCACATGAAATGGCCTGTCCTGATCGGCTATTGCTAGGACTGGGAATTGTATCAAGCTCTGCTTGATACCATCAAAGGAGCGCTGATATTCAGCGTTCCATAACCACCTCTCGTTCTTTTTCAACAAACGAGAGAGGTGTTGGTGTACAGTCATCTCGGCGTAATTGCGTGAATACTTGTGCAAACACGCCGCTAGCTTGAGGAATTTTCGAAGACCTTTGACATCAACCGGCACGGGCCAGTCGGTGATTGCCTTGATCTTTTCAGGATCAGGACGTACACCGTTCTTACCAACGATGCATCCAAGAAGTGGTATTTCGCTTGCTGCAAATATACACTTCTTGAGGTTTGCATACAATCGATGCTTTCGCATGATTGTAAGAACCTGTCGGACGTGGTACCTGTGAACCTCAACATCCGACTTTCCATCCATAGCTCGACTATGGATGAACACGCCATCGAAATAACTCGGCGCGAATTCTCGAACTGGTCTCAACAGATGTGTATCACATCTGTTGAACGTGGCAGGGGCATTACTAAGCCCTTGTGGCATTACTAGCCATTCCCAGAGCATGCCGCTAGGCGTGCTCACTGCGGTATAGGGTATATCCCGTTCTCGCATAAGGATTTGATAGAAGCCATCCATCAAATCCATGGACGAAAATATGGTACTCTTTGACATACCATCAATGATTACGTCCTTCCTTGGTATCGGCGTCTGAGCCGGTACCGTTGCAGCGTTCAATGTGTTGAACGCGTGCACTATCCGCCACCCTCCTGTTGCTTTTCGCACACAGAAGATCGGAGAGCTATGTGGGGAAGTTGATTCCCTCACATGGCCCGCAGCTAAACGATCGGCAAAGAACTTGTCGATCGCAAGTACTTGTTCACGAGGCAGTGGCCACTGCTTCATGACACAGTACTTCGAGCCTGGTTTAAGCTCGACCTCGTGTCGAATACCTTTATCCTTCGGTAATTCGCACGGAACAGTTTCAGGGAATACATCCTTGAATTCAACCAAATCTTCATAGAGAGGATTTGTCTTGAGCGATTCCCACGATTGGGAGTCATATCGCTCAACTCGTGTCTTTTCATCTAGGACACTCTCGTCCATAGATGAACTACTGAGAACTCTCTCGTTCTCAGTGAACACTGTTGCTGACCTTATGTCGGTTACACACTCGTCGTCAGCGACGAGTACGCAGATCTGCTTGACTTTGCCACTACGCAGATGACGCACGAACCTTTTATGTTCGAGCGTTGGCAACTGAGTGATCTCCGAAGTTAACTTCGGAGGCGCAATCAGATCAAGTGTATAAGCGCCTACACTTGATCCGTTATTGACTATGACATTCAATGTCTCTGTCATTTCCTGGGGACTTATTCCCTCAGGCTTCGAAGGACTTATTCCTTCGTCTTCCCGGGGACTTATTCCCGCGGGTTTCGGGGAACTTATTTCCGCCGTATTTGTAATCTTGGGACTTATTCCCTTTACTTCCTCTAGCTGGGGTTGCGCAACCACAGCGAGATCCTCTACGAAAGACTCTCCAGTCGATCTAGGATTATCGTTTCGCTTAACCTGAGCGATCGATTGTTTCTCTTCTAGATGTTCCCCGCTAGGGATACATCTTTGTCCCAGTCCACCCGACTTATTCGAGTGGTGGACCTTCGGCGCAGCCTGTGTTTCCTCACAGCCGCCGGAACTTTGCTCCGAAGTGTAACCGTTTGAAACGCTAAGGTTTTGTGCAGTCGTACTAACGACCGTACCACATATGAGGCCATCGCACTCACTCGTAGTACATCCACACGCTTGTGGACGCTCCAAAACGTTCATCAGATGGCCATCTGATGAACAAGCGGCAGGCATCGTTACTGTTCGATGTTGCCAGTTTACCCGTGGTTCGTACCTTCTGAGCCACGGTATTCCAAGGATGACATCACATTTGTCATCCAAATCCAATACGATAAAGTCATCGTCATATTGGTTATCTTCTAGCGTATAGTGGATCTTCACTATACGTTTCATGACGGTTACGGATGCGCCTGTCGCAAGACGTACCGTCATCCTCGTAGGAGGTGTGTCACATTCACTGAACTTGAAGTGACCATCTTCTGGTGATTGGCGTTGCACAAATTTGTTGGACGCCCCACAATCGACTAGAGCTCGAAGGGGCAACTTATTCGTCACTTCGAGTTTCAAGGCAATGAGTGAGACCTCATTACCTAGAGCAGCAACGCACAACGTTTGTGTGTTGGGAGCAACCTTCATCAAGAGGCCTACAAATTCTCTTGACGTTGCTGGACCAGTAGGGTGCTCCGCACCTACTGATCCTGTCCGTTTTTTGACGGTCCATCCCGTTGTTGCGTCTTTGCACCAACAGCGGACCCTCGTCCCTGCCCCTTTCTCATGGGTGGACGGTCACTACGCCCAGTGTCGCGAGACACTGGACGAGAGGCACTACACTCGTAAGCGTAGTGTCCTGTCTTTTGACATCTGTTGCATCTCTGCAACTTCTTGTAGCCTGTAGAGCGAGCCTTCTCGCTCTCTACATAACAGAGTTCCATCGGCTCTGGACCTCCGTTGTCATATCGTCTCGGTTGACGATATGATGTCGAGCTGGCGTGAGCCTGTCTCAGACTGAAGCCTTCCTGCTCCGCAATGGAAATGGCTTGTTCTAGTGAATCTAGTTCAAGCCGGAACAGGTGAGTCTTGACGGGACCATCCGCAAGACCCTGCATGAACACCGAAACCAACGTGTGTTCATCCACCGGATTGGAACTTATACAACTCGTGAGATGTCGTATATGTTGAGCGTAAGCGTGCACATCACGCTTACCCTGCTTGAGCTTCAAGAGTTCGGTTCGAGCTCTGAACTCAGCCCTAGGCGGTTCAAACGTTTGTCTGAGCCGCGACTTGAAAACTTCCAACGACCCAAACGCATATGGGTCGTGCAACTTGAGCCCCAGTGCCCAAGTCTTGGCACGTCCTGCCAGATTTGACTGGGCAAATGCACCTTGAATATCCCTGTCGTCGATGCGACGTGCCCTTATGGCGTCATCCAATTCGACGAACCATCTCAAGAGGGAGTCCTCATCGACTCCCATATACTAAGAGATGTCAATCTTGAAGGTCTCGGGTCGACGCGAGTGCATCGACCCGCCAGCAGCAGCCTGCTGCTGTCTCAACAGTTCAAACTGTTGAGCACCCTGTTCTCTCAACAACTCTGCTTGTTGAGAACCTTGTTGGTGAAGCAAGGCTACTTTCTCGCGTTCTGCGTCAAGTTCATTTTGAATGAACTTGGCGATAGTAGCATGTTCGGCATCTCTATTGAGAGCCTCTAGCATGACGCTAATAGCATGGATGCCCATGGTTGAACCCATCCGTTCAATCGCATCCCATTCGACACCGCTCAAATGGGAGTAGCCGTCACGCGTAGCGTGAAAGCTTTGGTTATCTTCATCATCCAACATATTCATGTTGGATGTGAACGCGGTCCTTGGACGGACTACGAAGTGCTACCAGGTGTAACGGGGCACCCTGAAGCTTGTACTGATGACAGTACATGCTACTTATTCTGATGACAGAATAAGGCGGTGCCTCGTAACTTCACGTACACTCGTACGTGCAGAGGAAGACGGTAAGAAGAAGCGAGTACTCGGTTAGAGTAAAAAGTAGAACTGTATTTATAATAGTTAATGTCTGCAATAAATCACTATTTATCTTCATCTAACTATGTCTAAATACAAATGTGTAAATCAGTTATCTGCTCACCACTCATTGCGTGCGTCTGTCGTGGCGCGTCTTCGTTGGTTGATATAATGGCCTATATCAACCAATTAGGAACTACTCGTAAGTGCTACAGAATATTTGTCCTTATGACAATATTCTGAGAAACTAACTCTTATAGTTGTATTCTATTAACAATTTCTTATAAATTGTTATGTAACGATTCACCCCGTTACATAGGGGGTGCGAGTCGTTCCTTCTTATAACGAGTCCATGAGTCTCCCATCGATTCGAATCCACGTCGCTAGGTTAAAATCGTTGTGTCTCCAAATAGTTGTCTGCCAACATTGGATGTACAAGCGTTAATTGTATCGTAATAAATTGTCACGCCTTAGCCACATCAATGACTCTTCCCGACACTGCAGAATCTCCGCTGACAAAGGGCACGTTCTCCACTGCCTGGCCATTCACATGCGTGGAATTGATTCAACTTCCCTCCCTTAAACTGATGCTACTATCCTCAAACGTAACGACACCTACTGAAGCTTCGTGCCATGCGCTTTCGGCATCGTCAACCGTCACCTCTCCCTGTGTCAGCATTCAGCGTGGTAGCTGACTTTACACCCCGCCCCGATTGGCATGTCAGTGACATCGTCGCACGTTTTGGACTCCACCAGCTTTGCTCCACTGCTTCAAGTGAACAGAACACTGGCGCCTCGAGATCGAGCTAGACCATGTTTGGTGCCATTGGACTTCACCAGCTTTGGATCTAGCAAAACGCCACCGTTCTCATGAACCATCTCCTACCCCGCTTTCTCAGCAAAACATGCCAGGCTCACAACACGTTCGCTGTCTATCCGGATGCTCACTCTAGAAGTCTCACTACCTTATTCGCTATCTACCCCCATCCCAATCCTCGTCACGACAGGGACCATTTCCGTCACTTTATGCTAGAAACACAGTCGCTGCAAAAAACGCCAAGACGGTCGTACGTTGTCGTAATCCAGCGCTCTTTTACAACAACAAACGACTCGCCCAAAAACAACAGCGCAATTCCGCCATCAATCACATATTTTTCAATTGACGTCATCAAATTTCGACAAATGACGTCACGGTGTCACACGACCCCCTCGACTTGCCCTGCGCTCTCCACGTGTCGACCTCGTTTCGCTGGCACTCTGGATTTTCACACGTCCCTCTCACACCTTCGGTCCAAAAAGTGCTTTTTTGCCCCTCAATCGGTTCCAAAACCCCTCACGATGGTCATCAAGCACGTCGCGCACGCGCTTGTTGGCGTCCTGGCGCTCGCCGCTTGCGCCGCCGCGTTTGAAGAAGAGGAGAACGTGCTCGTGCTCAAGGAGAGCGACTTTGCCGACGCCGTGACGGGTCACGACGCGCTGCTCGTGGAGTTTTACGCGCCTTGGTGCGGCCATTGCAAGCAGCTGGCGCCCGAGTACGCGGCCGCCGCCACGAGTCTCAAGGAGAAGAACCTGCCGGTGCGTCTGGCCAAGGTGGACGCGACGGTGGAGACGAAACTGGCCGAGCAGTTTGCGATCCGCGGGTTCCCCACGCTCAAGTTCTTCAAGGGCGACGTGGACGCTGTCAAGGACTTTGATGGCGGCCGCACAGCTGCTGAGATTGAGAAGTGGGTCGTGCGCAAGTCGGGCCCAGCTGTTGTGATCGTGGAGACGGTCCAGGAGCTCGAGGAGCTCAAGGAAGCGAACGACGTGGTTGTGTTTGCCGTCGTGGACGCTGTAGAAGGCGAGGCGCGAGCGTTGCTGGAGAAACTGGCAGATGCCGATGACATGGCTGTGTACGTGGCGTCCACGCAGTTGGGTCTGGTGGCAGACGCGAAGGCCGTGAAGAACGTGGTGCTGTACAAGAAGTTTGACGAGGGGAAGGTCGTGTACGACGGCGAGTGGGAGAACGAGGCACTGGCGGCGTTTATCAAGGCCAACAGTCTGCCGCTGGTGATTACGTTCTCGCAGGAAAAGGCGCCCACGGTCTTTGGTGGCGACGTGAAAGAGCACATGCTGGCGTTTGTCGACATGAGCAAGGACTATGTGGGTGGCTTGGAAGCTGCGGTCAAGCAGACGGCAGAGACGAACAAGGGCAAGCTGCTGCATGTTCTGATGCCGAGCACCGAAGAACGCATTCTCGACTACTTTGGCCTGACGCAAGACGACTTGCCGGCTGTCATGCTGGTCAATATGGGCGGGTCGACGAAGAAGTACGGGTTTGAGCACAAGGGAGACGCCCTCGTGGCGAGGCTGGATGGAGATCTTGCTGCGGAGCTGGTCGCTTTCGAGGGTGAGTACTTTGAAGGCAAGCTCACGCCTCAGCTCAAGTCTGCGGAACCGGAGGACGACAGCAACGAGGTGGTCAAGGTGATTGTGGGCAAGGATTTCCAGGAGCGCGTGATTGACAACGAGAAGGATGTGCTGCTTGAGTTTTATGCTCCATGGTGTGGTCACTGCAAGGCTCTTGCTCCTAAGTACGAGGAGCTGGGCGAGGCGTTTGCGGACGTGGACAGTATCATGATTGCCAAGATTGATGCGGCTGCCAACGAGGTTGACCACGCTGGTGTGGAGGTGCAAGGCTTCCCGACGATCCTCTTCTTTCCTGCGATGGACAAGCAGACCCCGATCGTTTACGAGGGCTCGCGTGATGTCGATGGCTTTACTGAGTTCCTGAAGATGAACGCGCAGAAGTTCGAGCTGGACGGGGTACAGTACGGCACGAACGAGATTGAGAAGGGTGATGCGATGGAGCAGACGTCGGAGGAGGATGTCAAGGAGAAGAAGGAAGGAGGGGCCGAGCACGAGGAGTTGTAGAAAGCACGTCTGGTACTTTGGAGTGTTGTCCTTGCTGCTGCGTGGAAACGGAGAGTTGCTAAGATTGAATGCAGATATGGAAAGTCAATGCTGTGGGTCGTTAGTCGTAGCCTGAATGGCCAGGGGTTTGTGGTGGAATCAATCGGAGTTCATAGCTTTTTCCTGCTTCAGGTAATGCAAACGCAAGCCAATCCTTACGTTTTCTTTCGGCAGGCCTTGCCTTAGTCAATGCACAATGGTAGTAATGTCTGAGTGATGCAGTTGGCTTCTAGCAGGCCAATGTCCTTGCGAGAGAGCGAAGCCAAGAAATTACAGGAAACTTCTTCCCTTCCTCCACTCACATCGGGTTCGCCTATTATTGACTGCCATTGTGTAAAATTATACAATGGACATGATGATGACGTGGAGCTGAGTGGATCTGTGTCTGATGTGCTGCGAGGACACGAGACAACAGGATGCATGTGCTATCAGGCGTCAGTCATCATCGGTTCGAGCTGCTAAGCAGCAGCAGCAATTAATATATTTATATGAAAAGTAAATAGGGGCTGGTACACACACGAGCAGGCAGCGGCACGAAGACCAAACCAAACAAGGATGGACGGAAGCACGCCGCATACACACGGACTCATAGATAGATACAGAGCGCCGCCTCTCCTTTTCGCTTCCAACGCCTTAATGGAAGCGCTCGAACACGCTCAGGCGGGGGCTCTCCTCGTCGTCACTGCTGCTTCCAGAGACGTCTTTTGCATCGCCGGCAACAGCCGCAACACCTTCAAATGACTTGCTATCAAGACTCAGCGATACGCCAGTAGACCACGGCTGGGTTCGCATGTCATCGCCAGTAAAAGGCGCCGACGACGCAGCCGGGAAGTCCTTCCATAACTCATCGGACTGTAGAGAAAACTCGGCATTCTTCGTCGTGGCAGCTGTCGAAGTGGAGGCGAGAGTGGGGGAAGAGACGCTGGAATGGCAACGCCCACGAACAGCCTGGACCGGAGTGGTCTCAGGAGACGTGACGGGGTCCGGGATCGGCTCATCGTCGTCCTGGGTGAGCGAGAACTTCATCAATGCGTCAATGGCATCCTGGAGGTCTGGGTAGCCCGGTGACGACGCGCTGCTTGCAGCGTCGCTACTCGCCGGAGTGGCTCGTTGCTGAGCACGCGACAAGCCGATGCTACCGAGCAAGCTTTGCTGTTCAAGCGAGGCACTCGTAGTATAGTGCTCACCAGCATAATCGGGGTATTGATTTGCAATCGGGGTAACACCCGACACTCCCCAGGAACTCTTGTCCAGCGAGGCCAGAAGCGAGTAGCTGTCCTTTGGGTAGGAAGGCATCATCTGGTGGTGATGCGAACGGAGCTGCTGGAGCTGATGCGGGTTCGGCTGCTCACTATAGAGGCCACCGCCATAGCTGAGATCAACAGACGGCTGCGGTGGGTCCATGACTCCGCCACTTAAGCCGCAGAAACGGTCCTTCTCATGAAGGAACATGCTGCTGCTGCTGCTGCTGCGATGGTGGTGGTGGTGGTGGTTCAAGGGACTGTACGGCGACTGCGCGTAGCCCTCCGTCTCCTCATGGATAAAGCGACAGCGGCTGCCGTAAGGACAGTGGCCGGACCCCCAGTACGACTTGCACTTGGTCGTCTTGTACTTGGGATGGCGCACGACGTGACGCAGCTCCGCCATTCCGTGTGCAAATTGACACTTGGCTGTGAAGTAACAGCAGGAAACCAAACGAGCGTCAGCATTCTATCAGCTCCACAACACAAAAAGCACAAGAGAGCGCATCGCACCTCCATAGCGACAGTTGCCAAACTCCGAGAAGCGCTTGCAGAGCTCCGTCTTGTACAGCGACGACTTGGTGCCGTTCTTCGGACTCGTCTCTTCGCTTATGTACGACACGACACTCATGTCGTCCGGTGGAAGGGCGTAGCCGTCGTGGCCGCTCCCGCCTGGGGACGCGTCAAACTCGAGGAAACTGTTCTCCTTGGACATGGCGTAGTAGCCCACGTGGTCCATGGACGAAAGTAACATGATGCAAGGCGGGGACTAGTCGGAGTGTGGTCGCTCGTGAAGTCGCGCTAAGCGAGGCAACGGAAGAGTCGACTGGTGAGGCGGGAGATCTCCTTAGACGGACGGAGGGTGATAACGAGTGGAGGAATGAATGGGGGGAGGCGCAGCTTTGTCGCACGCTTTCTCTCTCTCCTCTCTCTCTCTGTACGTGGGTGGCCTCTTGCACACACTATGGCAGTGGCCTTGGACACCAGTCAGACAGTAGGCAAAAAGAAGCAGCCAAAACGAAGGAGCTTGCGAAATGCGAAGTAACGGGAAGAGGTGCGGTTCTCAGCTCGGAAGGGAGTCAAGTTCATCATCGTAGAGTAGGAGGGAGGGAGGGATGTCGCCTCGCCGGTCACCGCCTTAGTGCTACTTCCGCATTTTGGTACTGAACATCGAGACAACGTGGAATCAGATGCAGTTTCAGGCTTGACATCTTGACTATTGTATGGACTGATTCTCTGGTGGCGGTTACTGCGCTAGTGTAACCAACCTTTTTTGTGGATGTCACGGCCCCTTCCTGGCACATCGCGCGAATACGTTGCATTTTTGGACAGGAATCCGGATAAGAGCTAGGATAGGTACAATTTTGCGTGGGTGCGCTTGTACCCATCCAAAACGATTCTGTTTTTGTACGCCGGACGAGAAAATTGCTGCGATTATAAAAATTGGAATACAAGAAAAAGAGTCAGAGACGCGCAGACTGGACGAGCAGTACCAGGGGCGCACGGCTCTTTAATGCACGAACAACTTTCTACCTGCCCATGCCAGTTTGAGCAGAGGTCGCAAAGAAAGCAGCAATCGGCAAGTCAGTAGCCCGATGTTTACGTTTCAATATATGCGAATGAAACCAAGCAATTTTACATGCATTTGTTGTGCCACTGGTGTACGGGCAGCGGGAGCGCCATGCTTTGTCAACAGTTTTGTTGGTGGAACGCCATCTCCCTATCGTTTCTCCTGCTGCTACAAGATGCGGGGACGACGTGTGTATCATTTCTAACGCTGTGACGAACGATGCGGGCGAGATTATTGTGCTTACGGCGTTCGGTGCATGTCATCGAAGATCAGACGTTCAGCTTCCTTTCTGATAAAGCAGTATTCGAACGAGGTGACGATAGCCTTGGCGCAGTAATGCCCCCGCCCCCGTTTCACACGCTTCATTGATCTTGACTCTGATTTGTCATGATCTAATCACACACCGCTGGTAATGAACACGTAAGGAGGAATCTGCTGGCCTCGCGTTTCCGTCGATACGATAATCTGAACAAATGTAATGACCGTCACGCTTGACCATTCCTAGGATCCACTTAGAACGTGCGTGACCTTCTAGGTCCACAGTCTCATACGAGGTGGTACTCAATAGATCGGTAACGAAACTCAAGACGTCCATTCGCTTACACTGATGCAAGCTATATTCAAGCGTACGGCTTTGTCAAGTGGCATGGCAGCACTTTATGATTGACTCATGCAACAAACGATACCCGCGCTCGACACGTATTTCAGAGACGGTGTAAAGAAGCTAGACACCATGCGTACAACATAGTCTTCCAAGGGACTTCTCGCACAGCGAAGGCTCGCATCGAGTGGAGTTGACTACTTTGGTTTCGACCGGTACTTTTGGTTCTTGATCCGTTCTATGTGGAAGTATAACGTTCCTTAAATGGGTCCCACAGTGTAATACATGCCGTTTGTGCAACTAATATTGCAGACGTAAACTGTTCTCGCGTACATACACTCGGTGGACCAATTCGGACGTTAGATCGTGCTCCAGTGAGAGCGAGCAGCAAGTTAGTCATTTGGCAAATCGACGAAAGAAAGCGCCTTGGTGTTATCTGATCACACTTTGCCACTTCAGTCCAAGCTCACCGTCATTCTTAAGCATTGCTGCGGCGTGCAATAGCTTGAAATGAGAATTGGCGGGAGTCACGGCAGACGGCATGTGAGACCACAAAGCGGGCAACCGCAGCCAGCTCTTCGTATAGACATATAGCCAGTAGCTGATTCAAGAACAGTTGAACAAGTGCAGCCAAATGCGTCAGGCGTGCAACTGCTCGGTCGAAAGCACGAATCAGGAGCTAGACGCCGTGCGTACTTCGGTGTCTAGTATGACGCAATGCGACAAAGAATTCCTGCAAGAGATAGAATACCCTTCGATTCCTATGACAGCTGTGCTTTGAAGGATCCATCATTTTGTGGGGTGAAAGAGGGGTCAAGGCTAGCAAAATTCGGTTGATTCAAAAGGATGATAGCCAGGCAGAATGCGAATGTCGGTGCACAGTTACTCAGCGGACTTGCAGTCTATGAAGGGAACACACTGTCGTCCATCCTGAGCCATCTCGCTGTCGTCTGTGACACTGGCATTCAAGATGTAATTTTGCTAAAACTGAGCGAATTTACGAGTAGCTTCTGTGCACCCGTAGCTTGGCTTCCGTCATTAACAGCATCGGTACTGTAGTCTGAAGTGCTAGTCGCGCATCGCTTATTCATCTAAAAGAGAAGCGATGCTCGGCTAGCACTTCGAGAAGTACGAGAGGTTGGTGTCAACTCAGTCTACAACACAAACCGGCATTGCTCTTAGTAGACTAGACCTCTTCGAACAAGTGATTTTAACGCGAATATCCGATGCCGCTCCATCTAATCCAAGGCGGGTGGGAAGCTGACATACGAGATGCTGGACGTGTAGGTATTGTACGCTTGAGCATATGAAAAGAACATATTGATGATTTCCATCACCCAAGCAAAGCGCGAAAACGTGTGCAACAAAGAGCAGACCAAAGGAGACGATGACGCCTCACCAAGTCCAGCACAACCTTCTGTTTCTGGTACGGCGGGAGATAGCGGAAATCAAAAGCTTCGACATCTACTTCTTGCCTGGTGAGGAAGCCGATCAAATCCCGGCGTTTTTGTAATCGAAGGTGCGCGAGTACAGCACGAAGAGCTCTTGAGGTCCTTCAACCGGATGATGTAGTAAAAAATCTTCCACTTTACATTCAAAATAGATTGATATAAGGTGCTCACCACTCATTGCACGTCTAGCAGCGATTGGTGGCAATCTATGGTTGATATGTCTTATATTAATCAATCTCAGACAGCGCATGAATAATATATAAAGGGATAGTATTCCTTCAATATTATCTATCTCGGATAATATTGGTAAAATATTGTCGTGCTAGACAATATTTCTATTAAAACCGTTTGGTGTCCATATCATGTAATGGGCTACCCCCGTTACACCAACCCCCCCCTCCACTAACCATCAATCGCCCGTTGATTGAATTAGGATGATTGGGACAGGGGGTGACCACCGTTGGATCACTCTGAAAGGGATCACTTGTTGGTCAAATCTCATTCATTTGCCAATCCAACGCATGGTGTCAAAGTCCATGCGATGTGCTGCCGAAGCTGCAAGTAAAGGGCGGCGGCTTCACGAATGCGTGCAGCCGCGAAAAGTGCCTCTCACACCTCAGCAGCAGGTGATTCGTCACCTATTGTTGTGAGATCGTCCACGTGGTGAGTCACCCCGTGCGACAGGTACATCTGCTGCGTCTGCAGCGGGTACCACGAGTCGTATCAAGATGAGTCTAAAATAGAGCTCATCTATTCCGGCGAGTTGGATGATGTATCCGACTCGAAGGCGACACCTCACGCCTCCAGGTCACCCGGGGGAGGACGCTGCAAGAGCCAGGTTGACCGGCTCCTGTCAGCGCGGCAGTATCATGTCCGAGATCTTCCGGATCGAGCGATTCTTCCGACGAATCGCCGCCTCACGCAAGTCCTTCCAACGATAGGACTCGTGGGGATGGTGGTGATACACCTATACATCACCACGAGCAAAGTAACTCGAGCGATCGAGGTGTCACTGGTGTCAGCGCTCACGCTGGCACCAATCAAGAGGCCAGGGACGGAAATGTTCTGCGCCACGCTCCTCAAGTGGAGTCTCCGTGGATGCCGTCATCCAGAGAGTTGGACCGGTTGGTCGGCATGACAACCGAACGGGATCGAATCCCGTTGTTTGATTGCAGGAGGATTTGCTCACCTGATTCCAGCATGGAAACTATCCGTGCGGAGGAATAATTCTTCACCGATGCGTTCTTCAAACACCGGCGGTACAATGGCAGCCGTGTTCGAGACGGCAAAGTCTTGGTGCAAGGATGGAATGCCCTCATCCATAACATCGAGTGCATTAGCCGTGAGGCCTGGCTCGCCAAACATGGTGCAGATCGCATCAGGTTTGAGTAACGCAATCCAGTTGGGGCGCGATACAAGTTGCACCGGCTTTAAGAGAGGCGGGATTACCCTGTCTCTCGTGGGGTGATTCGTGTCTAGGTTGCCTGGACAACTCGAACCGTGCCCCTAGGGGAGGCCTTCCTCCCTAATGATCCCTACTGGAGGGCGCGCATCTCTTCCGAGATGGCCGAAGGGATAGACACTTTGCAATCCCTGCACTCGCGTTCGGGGAGGTCGTTTTCCGACGGCCCTTCTTTGAACGCAGCGGGTGGGTCTCGTCGTACTGCTCGACTAGACCAAGGACATCAACAATCAGCTGGGCAAGAGGCTCCCAGCTGTCCCATGCCGGTGGATAGCCACGCTAGCGGACGAGGGTAACTCGTCCGGACGCCATTCACATCGCGGTGGTTTAAAATACGGCTCCACTAGGAAGCGTTGACCACCGCTTGAGTCCGCCAAAGGGTGTGGTGGCGGCGGGAACATCTGATCCGGCTCGAGGGTCGGATCAGCTTGATGTTCAATAGCTGAACCGTGTAACGGAACAGTTGCAAGATGACCTGGCTTATGAACGATCTCGGCGTTATATGCTCCATGACCTTTAAAGGATACTTTTAATTCCCTAACGCACGATCGTTCGGACGATCGTGCTGCTTTGCGTTCGAGCTACTTGAGAACGAACGTTCGACTCGTTCTTTTCGTGATGAGCTAGCTGCAGCTCGTCGAGATATCGCTGAGCTGCGTGAACAGGTCGCTTCGCTATCGACCAGACCGTTCGTTGAAACGGGACCACTCGAAGGTGGTCTCGGCTCTTGACCGTGGAGGTGTTCTTTGCATCTCGAAACGGGCTCGTACTGATAGTACTGGCGGATACAACCAACGTAAAACGTAGGATGCGAGCGCATCTTACGGGGCAGTTCAATCGTGTATACGTTGCCCATTCGGCGCAACACACGAAATGGACTGACATTCTTGGGCAGTAATTTACTGCTGCCCACGTTTGTCATTGCGTGTTTTGGTAGATTTACTGTTGACAGTAAAACTACGTCTCCTTCATCAAATTAAAGAACACTTTCTCTCCCATGCCTGTCTGCCTTTTTTTCTGCTTGTCTATTGCGTCTGCAATAAAATTTTGAGCGAAGCGGACAACCGCTTCGTGAGTCAGCAGAAATTCCTATTCTAACTCATCCTTGTTAGAAGCAGTGCTTCGTGTGAACTACTGAAAGAACGTTGTCTTCACCAGCAGCGCTTCGTATGCACTGCTGAAAGAACGTTGTCTTCACTAATGAGGGTGTCATCGTCCTCACTGTGGCAGTCACTGGCGATGCTGAATATGCCAGCATCGTCGTCATCGTCATCAGTGACATTGATACCATCGACATCGGTATCCACCACGTCGACACCATTTTCGACGTGTGATGAGCAAGAACCAGATCGGTTTTTGTTCGAGCGAGTCCCCCCCCACTTAAACTAGAGTCAAACTTTAAGAAGGCGGGTAAACGTGGATGGTATAGGCCATTCACGAAGAACGGTGTATGCGTTGTCGAAGCATGCACCGAGTTGTCGATGGCGAATTCAGCCATCGGCAAGAACTCACTTTAACACTCAAACGAGTGGACGTAACCTCGAAGTATCAATTCGAGGACGCGGTTAAAGCGTTCCGATGGACCATCTGTTTCGGAATGGTCAGAAGTTGACATCATCAAACGTGTTCCAAGTGAACGGAACACGGATTGCCAGAACTCCGCTGTGAAGCGTGGGTCCCTATTGGACACGAGTTCATGGGGTAACCCGTGAAGTCGTAAGACAGCATCGAATAAGACAACGCGCACAGCCCTGGGTAGTAATTGACTCTGGTACCGCAACAAGATGTACCATCTTGCTGAATCGATCAACAAACACAAGAATGCCAGTATTCTTGTGAACGTCTTTGGGAAACCCGAAGACGAAGTCCATCGATACGGACTGCCAACACTCCGCCGGAATCGGTAGAGGCTGCAATGGTGTGCGGGATGAAGGACTAGGCTTCACTCGTTGACAAACTTCGCAAGCGCGAATGTATTTGCCCACAAACTCAGACCGGCGGGGCTAGCAGAAGCACGACTTACCGTGAGGTAAGTCTTTTTCTATCGTGATGCCCACTTGTTGGGGGCATCGTGATACTTTTTACATGATGCGCAATCTCAAATCATCATGAGCGGGAACGACGACACGAGGTGTGTCGCCGTTGACTGCTGTATTGTTCAGCAGTCCATCACGAACCGAATACCGTTCGGTTGAAGAGCGGTATGGAAACGACAAGCTTTTCAAAGCTCGATTACACGGATTGGATACGTAATCCATCAATCGCAGAAGAGACTCATCTTCTGCGTATGCTTTTCGCACGTCGTCGAGCAGATTCGACGACGGAACAATCACTGTTAGTGTCGCTACAGTGGGATCACCCATACTGTTGTGCTGAGCAATCGGCGTCGGGAAATCGGGCCGACGCGAAAGAGCATCAGCGACGACATTAAGTCGTCCTAGTTTATACTCGACGGAGAAGTTGTTCTCCGCAAAAAAAAAACGTCACCTCGCCCTTCGTTGCGAGAGGTGTGGACTATTTATGGCCGTGCGTAAGGACGCATGGTCGGTATAAACGATGAAGGGCCTATCTCCTAAGAGATATACCCGAAACTTGGCCAGTGCATATTTCATGTCAAGGAGTTCCTTGTCATGCACCGAATAATTTCGCTCAGCTGCTTGCAGCTGACACGATTGATAATAGACGACGCGCTCAACGCCGGCTGAGTCGTACTGCATTAACGCGCAGCCGATTGCAAAATTGCTGGCGTCACAGACCACATGATATGGTCTATCCTGATCTGCAATCGCCAACACAGGCGATGGTATCGAGCTTTCTTCATACCTTCGAAGAAGTGCTGACACTCAGCGCTCCATGACCACCTCTCGTTTTTTTAGTAGACGAGAGAGATGTACAGTCCTCTCAGCAAAGTTGCGCTAATATTTGTGCAAATACACTGCCAAGCTAAGGAACGTTCGAAGTCCCTTGACGTCGACTGGCACAGGCAAGTCGCTAATCGCCTTGATCTTTTCTGGATCAGGGCGTACACCATTTTTACCCACGATGCAGCCAATGCGTGGTATTTGTCCGGTGCGAATATGCACTTCTTGAGGTTCGCGAACAACTTATGCTCTCGCATTAGAGAAAGCACCTTCCGGACGTGAATTCTATGAACCTCCACGTCCGTCTTTCCATCCATAGCCCGGCTATGGACGAAGACATCGTCGGAGTAACTCGGTGCGAAGTCGCGCACCAATCGCGAAAGATTCGTAACACATCTGTTAAACGTTGCGGGGGCGTGACTTAGCCCCTGTGGCATTACTAGCCACTCCCAGAGCATTCCACTGGGGGTGCTTACTGCTGTGTAGGGGATGTACCGTTCACGCATGAGGATCTGATAGAATCAATCCATCAAATCCATGGATGAAAAGATGGTACTTTTTGCCATACCATCTATGATGACATCCTTTCTTGGGATCGGTGCTTGAGCCGGTACCGTTGCAGCATTCAATTTGTTGAACGCGTGCACTATCCGCCACCCTCCTGTGGCCTTTCGCACACAGGAAGGTCGGAGAGCTGTGTGGGGATGTTGATTCCTCACATGACTAGCCGCGAAGCGATCGGCAAAAGAATTTGTCGTCGCTGTGACCTGTTCACGAGGCAGTGGCCACTGCTTCATGACACAGTATTTCGAACCAGGTTTCAGTTCGATCTCATGCCGAGTACCTCTGTCTTTGGGCAGCTCGCATGGCACGGATTCCGGGAAAACATCCCTGAATTCGACCAAATCCTTATACAAAGGATTTCTCTTCAAAGACTCCTAAGATTGGGACGTGTATCGCTCATTCCGGGTCTTCTCATGGAGGAAACTCTCGTCCATCGATGAGCTACTGGGAACCCGTTCGTTCTCAGTAAACACTTGTGCCGAACGACCATCGGCGACGTACTCGTCCTCTGTGACGAGTACGCATATCTGCTTGATCGTGTCACTACGCAGATCTGGCAGGAATCTTTTAGATTCTAGCGTTGGCAACTTGAATACCTCCGAAGCTAAATTCGGGGGCGTCACCAGATCAAGTGTATAAGCGCCTACACTTGGTCAGTCATTCACCAAGACATTCACTGACTCGGTGATTTCCTGGGAAAACACATACGCAGGTGGTTGGGAATCCACACCCTCACCATAAATCTCTCGGGAGTTATCGCTCTCAGAAACGCTGGATTTTTCTTCCATTACGTGAACTGACTGTGGGTGACTACCGCGGTCACCTTCTCTTTGATCGACTCCCTCTTTCAGTCGATCCCGGGTTTGCTTCTACGATCGACTCTCTGGAAGATTGATCTCCGCTTCAACGTGTTGTTCATCTTGAACAACACTAGTTCTATTCTCCGGATGCACCCTTCTTGGTGTGCATACGTGTTCGAGTCCACTCGATCTCTTCGAGTGGTTACTTCGGCGCAGCCTGTGTCTCTACACAGGTGCCGGAAGCCGGTTCCACAGTGTAGTGGCCTTCTACACTGTGATCTTGAGCTAATCGCACTAACGACCGTTCCACAAGTGAAGCCATCGCACTCACTCGTAGTACATCCACACGCTTGTGGACGCTCCAAGACGGTCATGGAGATGGCCATATGATCTGAAAACGGCAGGCATCATCACGGATCGATGCTGCCATCTGAACCACTGGCTCGTATCCTCTAAGCCGCTGGCAGACCGAGAAGTGACATCGAATTTTTCATCCACATTAGTACGATAAAGTCATCATCGAATTGTTCCTTCTATCGTATATACTTTCCCCTACGTTTGTTCAATGCTTGCGGATGCGCTGAGCAGAAGCACCACCGTCATCTCGTTGGAGGGAACTCTCGCTCAGCACTAGTTGAGGCTACTACCCCTTAGGGACTGGCGTCGATAAAACTGTTC